TGGATGTTCAGTGGTTGCAGTGGAGAATGCTTGTGCCTGTGGAAGTCTACCACCAGCTCCTTGGTTTTACTGGTGTTGATCTGGAGGTAGTTCAGCTGCACCAGTCCACAAAGTCCTGAGTCAGTCCTCTGTACTCCTTGTCGTCTCCATCAGTGAGCCCCGAGGCTGACGCTGTCGATGTCATTTCCTGTTTTTATCCCGGTTTCTCAGAGTTTGAACAGATCGATGAGGAGATGAACCATCACGGGGTCATGTGACACTGGTCCAGCTGTGACGTGTGATCTGTGTGGACTACAGATGATCCGTTTGGTCAATAACAAAGTATTTTTCTATCTTTGTTCAGAAACATATCTGATGAACGTGGAGCCGCTCAGGCAGGCTCAGAGTCACACTGACGGTTCTCAGACACGTTTTCACCGTCTGTGCTTCAGAATTTAATCTGTGTTTGTTTTAATCATGATGTCGATCTCAGCTCAGCTCAGCCTAACAGCAGACATGTGGTAATCATTTCACCCTCATCTCACTGGTGATAACATCAGTGTGTGTGTGTGTTGTTCTTTTGGATGTGGTCACATGACATTTGTGCAGCAGGTCGCCGGTTTAAAACGAGGTGCAGCAGCTGTGTTTGGCCTGCGTGTTACAAACTGTGATAACATCGTGTCTTTCCTCTTTCAGCCTTCATGCATTCCCCTCACCAGCCCGTCTACACGGCCACTAAACACGGAGTCATTGGCTTCACCAGAGCGATGGCGGTAAGACGCACACACATTAGCGAAAGCGCAGCACGAAACCTTTCGGGATGAGAGGGCCGCTCAGCAGCTTGTTCTTGTGTCGCTGCAGGACGCGGCCATTCAGGGCGACTACGGCGTTCGCATCCACGCGCTGTGTCCGGCCTTCGTCGACACGCCCCTGCTGCAGTCGGTGGAAGACGAGGACAACATGGGCAAGTTCGTCAAGTTCAAGGACGACTTCAAACGGAGCATGAGCAAGTTTGGAGTTCTACAGTAAGTCCA